AAAAAAAAAAAAAAAAATCTGCTACTCTGCTAGGTATCCTTACTGACGAGTCCACTAGCAGGCCCAGGACGAAACGCTCCCTCTCCTTTCCTTTTCACATTTTCCCAGCCAACAGCTTGCCGCCAAACTAGTTTACAATATCATTTCATTTCACAAATGCATACAAATAAGAATACATTCAATCCAAAAACATATGCTACCTCGTTTACAAACTATAAGATATTTATGTGTTATAAAACTTTCCGCAAAAAACAATCTTTTTTAGGATGGTGTGCAAGAAGATGTACAGGATGTCCGCGCGAACAGTATACATTCCGTTATTTCCTGAACTATTTCAAATATGAGAAAACTGTCTATACAAAACTGAACGACACAAGTGGGTTAATTAACGGGCTATGGCAAAATTTTATTTAACATTATTATTTTAAGACATATGAAGGTCAAGTTTGGTTTTGTAAATGGAATTATGTATTTTTTGTAGAGCACTCCATAGTTTAAGGCAAATCCAGTAGCCTTTAATGTATGCACCTTTTTTTAAATAGTTTCCGAGATTTTGCGTTTACAAATTTACTGATTTACGTGGCACTATCTGTAAATTTTTAAGCGCAAAATCTCGGAAACTATTTGAAAAAAGGTGCATACATTAAAGGTTACGGAATTCGTCTTTAAACGCACTACCAAGTGCTCTAAAAACAAAAATATTATTTTATTTATGAAACCAATGTTAACTAGTGCTCTCGTGTCATTCAGTTTTATGTAAACAGTTTTCTCGTATTTCAAATAGTTCAGGAAATAACGGACTGTATACTGTTCGCGCGGACGCTCCGTGTATCATATAAAACATCATATACATATGTATGTATAACCCCCGCTTAGGCTTCCGCGTGGCTGCTCAAGGCTCCGGAGCTCTAAGGTTAACAGACTAAAGACAGTATTATATGAGCCATTTTCGATTCAATTTTTTAACCGCGATTAAATTCTTGTTCCCAATCGTACGCTAAACGCGATACTGGTATTTATCCCTGGGAACACAGTTCCGAGGAACGTTGAAGCGGGATCAAATAGTCCACAGGCTGGGTCATCGCGGTTATACTCCGGTATTCAGTCCTCCGTCACTTCCGGGCTAACTGCATTTTCAAAAGTAGACGCTTCCCCGTGGTTTATGCCGTGATGAAAGTATCACGGGGCCACGGAGGCGCCAACGTCCGTCCGCATAACCATGCCACGCACATAAATGCGTACACGGGTTGCGATGGAGGAGTGTACAATGTTAAGATCGGTAGGTGGTATGAAACGTGGATGGACCGCTCGCTCGACATCGGCTTGGTTGAGGCGCGAGAGGAACGAAAGGACGGAAGATAGCCGGTGTAGGAATAATATCACATCGACGGTGGCTGGCAATGGGGGGGGGGGCGATATAGAATTTTAATATAGTGCTTTACGAGCGCGATTGTCCGCCATTTTACGGCCGCTATAGGGCGGCCATTTGAATTCTTAGATCTGCATACTTTGCGGAATTGCGTGGGTCCGGCTGCTGGCACGACGACGGGCGAACGCCCACGGAGCTGCCCAGTCCAGCGACCATCAACCACTCCCGCAGTTTCTCGTGCTGCTTGTGTTCTTTGTTACGCCTTCTCTCTCTCTCTCTCTCTCTCTCTCTCTCTCTCTCTCTCTCTCTCTCTCTCGGTCCTTCTATATGACGAGTTCATAGAATATTGGGTCATGTCACGAGTAATAGTTTTATATTCAATTATTATAAAATATTCTTACGATAATTATGTTAATCCGCTAACTGCATTTGTCTACTCCAGTAGACGCCTATTTTATCACTTTAGTGGCAATGTTTGCAACATTTCTTGACGACCGGCAATACGAACTTTGTTCAAATGACATCTAAACATTGGAAAAACGCGTTACTGCGATCACTACTGTCGTTATTTGTTGTGAGCAGACATATTGTTTATACAAAATTTTAATACTTTTAAAATGACTATTGTTTCTTGATGTTATGAAAAAATGATTGTTGTGTAAGATACCAAAAAGATGTACTGAGTGGGTTAAACCTTAGCTTTATCAATTAGTAATACATTAAGTTATTTTCCTTCAGTTTACGGGTACAAAATGATCAAATTTGTTTGTATAAATTCATAGTCTGGCGATATTGTATTCTGTTTTGTTCATTTTGTAATGGTATACGAGGTACTTTTTGCAAAATAGAGAGAGAGAAGGGCAAGGTAGAGTGTAAACACATATTACTTCTCTTACGAGGATAAATATGTATTATACGATTAAACAGGTAGATAGGTATGATATACAAAGTGTTAATAAAACTGTGGGACACATTCACAGGGTAGAATCTCCATGCAAAAGTAAGACGAAAATAAGAAATAACGGTATGGCGTTGGAGGCTTTATTTCTATGTTAATAATTGTTGAAAATACGGTCGAAATGGTACGCGTGTAATACGTCTGGCGCGATAGGTTATACTATTGGAATAGTCGATTTTCAGTTGATACATGAGACCGATGACCTAGTTCTCCAATGAAATCAAAGGAATAAAAGTAACTGGTGAAACAATTGAAGAACGCACCCTCTTTATTTCTTTTCTTCATTTTCGTCTTAGTTTTGTATTTAGAATCCACCCTATAAAACTGGTCCACAGTTTTATTGACACTCTATATAATACACAACAAAATAAGGTGTTGGATGACTAACCATCTGTTAGTCTTGAATCAACAGAGCGCTAGCCTGATAGCAAAATTCGGTTTTTCTCCTATTTAGTTGCTTAGGGCCTAAGGTCATTCGGCTCCCTCCTAATATTGTATATAAGCTCTCCGGAAAGATGCGGAGGTTAGATCTAATTCATACACGAGACTCGCAAAATCGTCAGTAACAACTCAATTCCATAGCATAGTGTACTTAGTCGTATCTAAATGCAAGTCGTTTGTTGTAAGCCTTGCAGTTTCTGAAATACATTTATTATATTGTCATCAGTGTATTATTGACTTGCCGGGTTTCCAACAAAGGCTTGAAACGATCGAAAAGAAGAATGTAAGCGATGGAGTATCGGATAGGAATATCCAATAAAACTCACGGGCGTGTCAATAACCAAAGTTTTATTCTCAAACCGATGGGTACGTGTAATCACGACTACGAGCAATACAAGAGTGAGTCCTTCTTGACTTTTTGTTAGCCCTAAGGACGCCTACGTCACCATGGCCTCTTTTATTGCCTAAAGTACTTCAGCCTCAGGTCAACTTTCCCTCGAATAAGGGGAAGCGCGCTGACAAACTGCACATGGCCTACCTCGGTCGTTCGTATACTTTGAATTTCTAACAAGAAACTATAAGAAAAAAGTTAAAATTAATTTATTTTCGTCTGTTCTATACAGGTGTCGAATCCAGAACTCTCTCCCGGGAATCGTGACTTCGAAGCGTTTGTCGCCCACCTTTTTTGGTGACTTCTTGCGGCGCGTGCGGGTCAGCGTCTTGCCTGTGCTTGTAAATATTTACTATCGCGGCTGTCGACACCAACGACAGCGGATCGGCCGTTTGGTGATCGCGTTTAAATTTCGGTTGCGCGCGGCCATCTACGCGCCTTTGTCGCCGGAGCGATGTGTTTCCCCCTACACTCCCAATTGGAGACGATCTGCCTTCAATCGGTAATAACGTTATACAGTGGGTATAAAAAGTATTCATACACCCTTTAACACGTTTGCGACGGGGCCTGAATTCACTAGCCGCACCGTGGGGAGGGCCTGTTTTTCGTACTCGATCCCATCGGGCGGGCCGAGTCCCCGGTGGTACATGAACCATTGCCGCATTATAGCAATTGACACGTTTGCGACGGGCCTGTATTTAGTGGCTCTGCCGTGGGGTTGCGCTGTTTTTCGCACTTTCTCCCATCTGACGGCGTTGATTTGAAATAAATTATGTGCTACGTGTTTCAACATTGTGCATCTTTTGAGAACATAAAACGATCGAAATAGAAACACATATTTTTGTTTCTGTCGAAGCTACGCCCAACTATTGTTAGGAGGTCAAAAAGTATAACAAAATTAACATTTTGCTATAATAACTTATATAATATTTTTGCTCCGAGGTAATGTTCTATGTATACCTCAATATTTACTTGGAATACTTTTGAAGTAATCCAACGTCTGTATATGCATTGTAACCTAATTCCAAATCGAATTTCAGTTAAAAATATTACCCATAGGATGTCACGAAGGAAATTTGATGATTCATCAGATGAATCTGATATACAATGTTATCAAAGAAAAAGGCCGCGACCTATTTGCTATACTTCAGATGACAGTATATCAGAGCAAGAATTTAGTATCGACAACTCATGCATTAGGCTTTCTAATTTATATTTGTCTCCGAATACAACGCTCCAAGAAACAGAGTGGCAAACAATTCAAGCGACACAAGCGGAAAAAGAAGTGGCAGAACCAGAGCGTGGGCAAGACGCGGAACTTCTAATAGAAAATATTAATTGCAATGATCCGTTGGAAATATATGAACTATTCGTAACCGACAGCATAATTCTACTTATGGTCCAACAAACAAACAAATATGCCATGCAAATTGGCACTGATAAAAAAACAAAAAAACATCAGAGCTCCTGGATACCTGTTTCAATAGCTGAAATGAGGGCCTTTCTCGGTATACTATTAATTATGGGTGTCGTCCAAATGCTGGACATTAGGTTATATTGGGCTGAGAATAGTATGTACGGCAACGAGCGTATAAAGCGGAGCATGAAGCGCGATCGTTTCTTGTCTATTCTAAAGCATTTACATTTTGTCGATAATGAAACATGCAAAGTTGAGGATCCGTTGTACAAAATTAGAGACTTTATGAAAGAAATTCTTTCAGCATTCAAGAGTAGTGTCAAACCGGGGAAAACTGTTGTCATAGATGAGAGTATGATTTTATGGCGTGGACTAAATATGGGATCAAACTATACAACTTGTGTTTACCAAACGGTTATACGTATGATTTAGATGTATATGTATAGCGGAAAAAGCTCAATAACTTCGACGAATGGACATTCATATGATGTTGTAGAAAAACTAATGAATGGCTTATTATTTGAAGAGTGAATTTTGTATACCGATAGCTATTATTCGAGTGTTCCCTTAACAAAATCACTTCTAGAAAGACAAACGTACTTTTACGGCACAGTGCAGCAAAACCGAAATTTTTTGCCGGTAGAAGCAAAAAAAAAGCAAAAACGTGGCGAAATTCTCGCCATAGAAAATAGCTGCGGCATAAAATTCGTCAAATGGACCGATAAAAGAACTGCCTCCATGGTAACGACTTGTAAAAATCATAAATGCATACTAATCGAAGGAAAATCAGGAAAAATTAAAACCAGATCTTGTTTTTGAGTATAACAATGCTAAAAAGGGTGTCGATTTATCAGATCAAATGGCATCTTATTACAGTTGCTTAAGAAAAACAGTGAAATGGTATAGGAAGATCGCAATACATCTACTTTGCGGGACAGCAATAGTAAATGCGTATTACATACACAAAACATGGGGTAGTGGTCAAATGAGCATTTTGAAATTTAGGGAAAAAATTATTGATAAATTATTAACAACTGAAGAAATGTGAATAAGGCTAATAAAGGATAGCAACCTTCATTTTATAAACAGATATCCGGGCATTGCATGAAATGTTCGCAAGCGCTGCAGGGAATGTTACAGAAAATTGTCAGAACGCGTGGGCACCGTCATAGCCAAACGAAAAGCCAAGCGCGTTACGACATTTTGCCCTCTTTGCGAGAATCAGCCGGCTTTGTGTATACAATGTTTTGAAGAAATTCACAAAAAGAAATAGTTCTCCTATGTATATAAATATGTAAATAAATTTATTAATTACAATAATCACCTTTTTATTAGATTGACACCGGCGTGTACCACCGGTGACTCATCCCGCCCGATGGGACAATTCTGTATGTACCACCGGTGGTACACCCCGTCGCGGACGTGTTAAAACGGAACAACTCTTTTAAAATTGGTCCAAATGTTGTGAAAAAAAAAATTTGAAAAAGTTGCAATTGGTCCGAATCGCGAAGAAAATATTAAAGGTCGTGTTTTACAACTTTCTAATCTGAGGCTATAATGAATATTTAATAAATACATATCGAAGATTTATGTTAGTTATATACATGTTGAAAATTTCATCAAAATCGGTTAACGTTGATACGAGATACAAACGATGAAAAATATTGAAAATCGCAGTTTTTCCCGACTTTCGATCTACAACTGTAGTAAATCTAACAATTCTCACATCTTATGATGCCTGACGCTCGTTTCTGTATTAACCGATTTCAATGAAAGTTTCAGTATGTACATAACTAACATAAATCTTCGATATGTATTTATTAAATGTTCATTATAGCCTCAGATTAAAAAGTTGTAAAACACGACCTTTAATATTTTCATCGCGATTCGGACCAATTGCAACTATAGGAAATGTGCATGAGTTTATAATGAAGTACACGATAGAGTATGAACACAGTTTCTTTATTATAAGGAAAACTACGGAGCACGACTGTATGGTTTGGAAGCCAACACGAAAGTAAAAAAAGCAAAAAGAAAGTCGCACGAAAAAGGACCTCTGTTGGGTCCACTTGAGGAAAACTAAAAATAGATGCGACCGTCGTTTTACTGCTGAGGCCCTTTTCCGAAGGAAGACTGAAGGCCTTCGATCTCTGACCTGAGGACCGTTAACTAAATGACACTGTTTGTATCCTTCGACACTCGGCTTATTTTTGTCACCAGATATTCCAACAGCAACTTTATCAAATTTTGTTTTCACATCATTTAGTAAATTAATGTCTCTAACTTCACAAAAATGCTCAAGTCATTGGGACCAATTTTAAAAGAGTTGTTCCGTTTTAAAGGGTGTACGAATACTTTTTACACCCACTGTAGAACGTTCACTACTTGTATTGTATTTGTCTTCAGTTACCTGCTGTACATAGATACTTATTATTAAACTTGGTTAAACAGTATTAGATTAATTATTTTCTAATACCCCTTACACAATATTAATTCAACGTGTGACGTCCGGAAAGACCAAAACATTCGGCTGACGATTCGCGACGGAACAAAGGTGACTAAACGCTGTTCATTCATATCACGTATGCCCGTGACTGTCAGGCGTCCTGTCACGGACGTGTGCGTTAAGTGGTTAATAAGATAGTAATATTTTTTATATTCAGTATGTTACATATGCTTGGTCTTTAATAAAAATGCTGTAATATTTTTGGAGAATAATTACGAATATTATTAGGGGAGCACGTGTTTTTGATGGAAATTTGGAAAACAGATAGATCTAATATGCCTGATGTACTTTTCACTTGAATGTGAATTAATATAACGGCTGCATCGTAGGATCCACCCTTTAAAAATGTGCCACATGTTTAGTAGCACCCTGTATGAATGGCGGTAATCCTTATTAGAATCTTTATTGACTACGTTTTCGGGACCATAATGACATTATGGTCGGGATGATCTGATAATAACGCAAGTGTTCGAGTCACGTTGCACCAGTGAAATGACCAAGGGAAAATTTCCCGTCACGCCCTACCATAGTGGCGGCCAGAATCCCATTTGATTATCATAGAATTTCTGTTTCTTCGATCCGATGGCGTATTATTAATTTTTTTCGCTGGGTACGTTCCTCCGGTTTTCAGTCGGCGGGCATAATCACGCTGTTTGCCCGTGCGAGAGTGACTTACGGGTCGTTATTACCGCCACGGTGAGTTGTTCGGATCATTTCGCTGCAAGATAAACGTCGCCGTAAGCTCGGGAAGATGACAGATATGCTCCCTTTATTGATACCAGATACATTGGAATTTTATTGCGTCGTTATCGCGAGAATTATGGGCCGTTTTAAATTCTGGATTCCCTTCGTTATCTTATTAGAATCATTACGGAGAACTTATTGCAACGACTTGAAGAACGAGGAACTCCCGCAGAAGTGAATGACTTAAAATTGCTCCACGTAATTGCCTGCCTGAAATTTTAACGCCGCAAGACGGAAGGGAGAAATGGGTCCGTTTTCAGATAATCCCTTACTCAATTGATTCCGAGTTACTTTACATAACTACATTATATGCGTGTTAAACAATGATTAAACATACATACACTGCCAGACAAAAATATTTCAATTAAAGAAAGTAGAAAATATTACTTTATAAGTATTTAAGAGACTGTTAATGTAAAAAGTAAATTGGTGATTACTATTTGAAAGAAACTAGGGTATTGATAGAAAGTGACAGTTGAACTGTGAATTTTGATGACACAGAAGTTTTTTTAATTTATCAGCGATTCTATCAGGTTCCAGTTAATCTTCGTCTGGATAGAAGAGCCTCTAAGGATATTTTATTATTTCATAATAAACAATATAATAAGACACTGTTACTGGACGTGAACCGTTGGGGACGTTAAAAAAAATACAACTTGCCTATCACTAACACTTAATTAACACTTTTATTATAATAATTGTACAACTGTGCAATTCCACTGGGAAACTGTACTAAAATTTTTCGCTACGGCAGACTTTGAGACATAGCGTGTGTGACATACGGTCGAAGTATTGTCACGATATACGCTGTGAATGACGAAAATTTTCGTCAGTGTGCATTTTTCAGAATTTATATGGAAACCGTCGAAACACTGAATCTTACTGGATTAGACTCATATCATCGATTTATTGATGAGCACTATTGGAAATGGGTTAAAATAAATAGTAAATACTATAATCCTTTTTCTCCTATTTCTTGGCTTGGAAGGACGTCTTAATGCTTTGGAAATCGTACTCGAAGTGAAGAAAAATCCGTAAGAGCACGACCGAGAGTCAGTTGTCCACTTAAGAAAGAAAATAGACCCGAACTGCATACAGTTTATTACCCAGCCCTCAGGTCAAAACGTTACAGGCCTACGGGTACGATGACATCTGGTCAATTGTATAATTTTGACTAAAACCCGTGTTTCTCATACATAACACTATTCATTTTTGCTTATTAACTGACACATTATAATTATGTAGTAACAATCCAACAAGCACCTATTTCGATTTTAGAGCGCCTATAGGCGCCAACAGTATTGAAAGGGTTAATTAACTGAATTATCGCGCGCTTGATGTCGCTCTTTACATGGTGCCTTTGCGACGAAATACTCTTATCTTGTTTAGTCTATCGTAATATAAACATCGAGTCCTGGTTACAATATATATATATATACAAATAACAATATATAATAAATAAGTAAAAACATAATGTTACTAAATTACTAAATAAATAAACTAAGTTAAAAGAAGTAAGATATTTGTAAGTTATCGTAATACGGCGGGTCCGTTTCTTTCGACGTTCGAAAGGAATCTGAGATTCGGTTACGTACTGCACCTTCCAAAAAGGACTTTGTGGACCGTCGTCGTTGTATGTATACATATACGACTGACGGTCGTATCTTCCGTTAATGTTTAACGTCTCTTTTATGGTGATCGGTCAAACATAAACCCGATCACCTTACAACGTTGACCTAAACATTTGCTTTTAATTTAAAAGGAGATGTTACGTTTCTTTCCATTCCATTTATACAATTCTTTACAGAATTCTAACATTCGGCCACCCTAACGGAATGTCTGTTCTCGGACTACTTTAACGAAATGATTTCTTACTTCCTTTGCTATACTTACTCTATCCCCTATTCGCCAACGTTCAACAATTTCCTTACCTTCGTATTTGTTTCCAAATTTTTAAATGTCAACGCCATAAGCACCGTTCGCTTAACGTGTATTTCATTGCATGGCAACATGGAGCTGCATAACTTCTGCCCCGAAATCAGCGTTCTGCTCCGGGTGTACCCCCACTACGCGGCTCAAGCTGCCTCGTGCGCTACTTATAGCCGCGTACCCATCTGAGCATGCGGCCCGAACCGAATGAGCACGGGACAATTGGCGGACGCACGCTGAAGACGCGAACGTG